TTCTTGTTGTATTTCTGGAGAGTAAAGAAATGTGTCCCAAGATATATAGACTGAAACAATCTCACTGTGATTAGCTACAGCGGCTACATCGTATTTCACATTTTAATCCCACAGAGATTGCACTAATTGTTTTTTTGGTCGTCCTTTTTTGTCTTTCTTATCGTAGTTGTTCACTCTGATCTTGCTTTTACTCCGAACCTGAATTCATACTAAAATCTGATCTAAATGATCCAGTCATTGATCATTGTTTCAGTTCAATAGTCAGTTGACAGTATAAGAAATCCTCTCGTGAGTGAATGTATCAAGTTATAATAGTAATTTCGATATGTTTTTTTTTTTTGTATATCTTAGTATTAAAAATAATTCTAATCTAATATTAATATAAAAATGCTAAATACTTCTAATGCAAAAAGAAAAGCTTTTAGCAAAATCCCAATAGTATTCATATGTGAAACACAATAGATATTGTTTATTGATAAATGAGAATCGATCTATCATAATATAGATAGCTCAACAATTATATTTATTAATTTGTACTGATTCTGTTTCTAGAGAATATACTTAGTTCATGAAGGAATGCTTGACGAGTAAATATTGATAATCCACTTTTAAGTATTTCTAATGAAACACTATTATCATTCAGTCGTTCGGAATTAAATAGTTCAACATCAAGTATGATATCATGTTCATTATTTATTGAAGAGAAACAATTATAACCTATGCAAACATCAACTTTTCAAATAAAACATAGAATTGATTTTGATGATAACAAACAACAAGACAAAGAAAGTACACTTGAACAGAAATATAATATATATTATCAAATCAATCTATTGAATCATTATCAAAACTAATAATCAATAATAATAATAACAATGAAGATTATGCAATTAGTCAACGTATGATTGTAAATACTGATCATGATATATATAATAAATCATGTACTATTTGTTTTATTGGAGAAATTTCTATTAAAACAGGTATTTGGTATGGAATTGAACTTGATGAAACAGTGGGTAAGTTAAATATTTGCTTATTTTGTTTGTTTTTTTGTAAAAGAAAAAACAATTAATTTGGATTTAGGAAAAAATAATGGTTCACTTGATGGACATTTATTTTGAATGTTCAGATAAACGTGAAAGATTGGTTCATCGTGATAAACGTCAACTTATTAATTAAAATCTATCTTTCTTTTGTCAGATTATCATTATTTATATGACATACGGGTCTATTATTAATCTTATTGTGCTAATTGTTTATACTATATGTAATTTGATTCTTATCTCGGTGATATCTGTTGACTTTCACCCACATATGCATATCTCTTTTTTCTTATAATAGGAATGTGTCTAATTTGTTCTTTTTTTTTTTTTTTGTTAGCACATATTTATTATATGAGAAAAAAAATTTTCATATTTGAATAAATATTATCGTGATATAGAATCTATTTTGTGTATATGTTCCGGTCAAGGCTAATGGAATGTAACCATTTATATTTAATGAGAATATCTTAAGCATATCTTTTTTTTTTTTGGTATATTTGGTGAAAACTATTCTTCTCTTTGTTGGAAAATAGTTATTTATCTAAACTGGAAATAGGCCTATATTATCGTTCTTCCTCTTTCTTGTTCTATCAATCGAACTGTTGAAAGAAAGAAAGAAAAAAGATTAGTGTTAGTTCATGCGTTTGCCTATACACTAGTCAATCGATGGTGAATGAAGCAGAAAATTAGATAATGGACCACTATCTCAAATATCACCCTCTCCTTTTATGTATTTCATCTTTTACTCTATTACGATTGAACTCTTATATTGTCATTGTTATTGTTTTTGAATAGCTCAAGGCGGAAATCAGTTTTGAGAGAAAGACGACGATAGTTGCACGCAAATTGAATTGATTGAATGAAATAATCATTGCTACTAGTCAATCTGTATAGAAATAACAATGAATAAGTATATATATATACGAACATGCGGCGCTTAAGATCTCAAGTAAATTAATAATGATTGATGATTTCCTTCTTTTTTTCTACTATTTCTGTCAATTGTATACCAAGAAAAAATTATTATCTTCGATTGGACAGGGCAAGTAATTCTATCTACTCAAGTGACAAGAAAACATCCATTCAAAAACAAGAAAAAAAAAAAAAAAAAAAAAGAAGAAGACCACAATCAGCTTATCTCTACTACATTAAACATAATATTTAAGAATTAAGTTCAGTATATTTCATATTGTTTTATCTAGATTTTCTCATTTTTCTTTGACTTCCTTTCATTCTCTCTTCGTAGATAATTCAGGAAACGATATTTTGTCGTTTTAACAACTTTTTTTTGTCCGAAAAGAAAAACCGTTTATGACATGTGAACGCTTTTCCGCACGAAAAACAAAAGGTTAGAAATTAACCATCATAAGTAATATTCAGACATAGTCATATGTATGTGATATTGTTTAAGCGAGAAAATGCCATTTCCTGAACTGTTTGGGTCCACTTAAACATGTTCATTCTATATTTAAATGGAAATTAACATTTATATGATTGTCTTTATAGTTTAAATACTCATTGATATAGATCATTCATTCGTGCTTTGGCTAACAATGAGTCAAGCTTAGAAGAAGAAAAAAAGAAAGTATACAAAATGAATGATCAATCAATTTTTCTATCTGTATTTGATTGTAATGATTTATGCCTTTGGGATGCGCAGGCATCAGATTTTTTTATTACAAACTTCTGTGCTTAATAGTCAATTTATTGTCAGAATAATCAACGAGTAAAAAAAGCACATAATTCTATTCGTTCGAATCCTCTAATATAAGACAATAGTTTAAGGTCAATGAGAATATTTTCCCAAAAGGAAAAATTTTTGGTATTTATCCATGTGGAGGAGTATTACTATTAACATCATCACAACCACGAACATTACTGCTGTCGTTGCAACCGTCATCAAGATCACACAACCAACATTAATAGTAGAAAAAAGGAAGAGGGAGAGGCTGAGGGAGAAGAGAAACTCTTCTGCGCTGTGTCTGTCTATCTGTCTCTCTTTCGTTTCTGTTCTTCTTTAATAGCGGTAAAGAAATGATGGAAAAATTCACAGTAACAACATCAACGACGACGGCAAAGAAAGTCGAAGTTCTCTTCATATATATGCGTTAGATGGAGAGAGGAACAAAAAAAAATGCGGCGAGTAAAAGAAACGAAGAAAAAGAAGAGCACGGTACATTTTCCTCTTGATCCAGCCAACTTCTAACCGGGCTGTTCTTCTTCAGCCCCAAGCAGCATCTCTCATTATTATCGTGATTATCGAACTCGAGTTGTGTCACTCTTTTCTCTCTATATATACACATTGGTACGCATGAGCGAAAAAAAAAGAAAGACAAAATACACAAACTTAATAGTATATAGATCAAAACTCAACGACAAATACTTAATTTCATATTCTCAGGTAGTCAGTTATTGTTTTTCTTCTTTCTTGCTTTTTTAGTATTCTCCTCTTAAATGATTGCACTACATGCATACATACACACGTTGATCAACATAGAAAGACTAAAAAAAAAACAGGTGCAGACAATATTGTGATTCGAGCTAATAAAAGGCGAAGTACAGGCGGAAATTAAAAAAAAAATCTATCTTGCAAATTTTTGGTCTATTCGAAACTAAATGAATGACTATTTTCTTTTTTTTTTATGTGTGTATGTCTGTGTGCGCATGTGTGTAACTGTCAATGGAACACTAATAGAATATCGATGTGATAGTAGTAGCATGGTGTGCAAAAGAACTGGTGATGATGATGATGATAATAATAATAATAATAATAATAGTAGAAGCAGAACTAACAGATGCAAATGAGATTCAAAAAAAAAATGATGAGGAGTTATTGAAATGAATTATTAGCAGAAAACTAGTTCCATAAAAAATATAATATATATATTTATACGGTGAGTGTTTCATTCTATGACTAAATCAATATTCGTAGATAGTTCTTTTGCAAACAACAGTTTTTGCTTCTCTCTTTTTTTTTTTTTTTATTCTCTTGCACGCTGGGTGTCCCCTAATTAAACTGTTGCCTTTCAAGCAATAAATAACTGATGAGGAAATGTGTGTGTGAAGAGAAACACACACATATATATATAAACATGCATCATATATAAGAAAACAAAATGAAGATGAGACAATAGTAAGAAAAATTTTTGCTATCATATCTCTTGATCGATTTAAATATTTGACTATCTATTGACATAATATTTCATTGTTGGCAATCATTAGACGTTACATTTGGAAATATTTGTTATTAGAAGAAAAAAAAAATCTCTGATGATTCGTATTTTTTTTACGTTTCTTTATTCGATTATCAACATAAATAAATTGTGACCTCCATTAGACGACAACTTATTATTAGATGACGATACTAATATATTGATAAGATTTGATGTCATCAAAATGAAGTAATCTGATGACTCCCAGATGAAATTTATGAAGAAATAACATATAACTAACGTTTGCCTTTTCAAGTTAATGTGGCCAAATGCAGGACATAACAAACAAGTGTCAAAGCTACTCCTTTGGGATAAACTCTACTCTTCTTTTGGACTATATTTTTCTTCTTCATTTTTTTTTTCTCTTTTTCCTTCCTTCCGTCTTATCGTTGTGTGCTCTGTGACTCTCAACGGGAATCTTGTCATACAGGATGATGTAGAGCGTCAAATTAGTATTTGACGACACCAGTCAGTAATAGCAAAAACATAAGAGAGAGAGAGAGGAAGAGATGAATATATGAGCAGAGCACCAGATGCATTAAATTGAAAGGCGATCTCAAAAAAAAAAACTGTTCGAACGTCATAATTAACTACATGTTACAACAAAGTATCGACTTTTTTTGTACTTTTAGATGACTTGAATGAGAACTAAATATTCTTACCACGAAATATAGTATTCAGTCTCTCAAATAGTTCATAATCGAGCGAGCTATGAAACAAATTTGCCCGCCGATGATTGTCATCCATGAATCGATTTGATTGGAATAAGCTTTCACCGGACGAATTTCAACGTCTACAAGATTATATATCATGTAAGTTAATTTTTTTTTTTTTTTTTTTTTAATTTTCTTATGATTTTATTTTTTTTATGATTATTCAGATGCTCCCAAGAAAGTCAAAGATGTTGTTGCTATTCTTGAAAAAGATCCAACTTGGTTAGCTCATAAACATGATGAGGTAATTTCATTGATATATTCAATAGAAATGTTTTTTTTTCATAGTAATTTTTCTTTTATTAGCAACTTGATTATAAAGGTTTTCGACAATTTCTTGATTTACTTGTCGATAATTCTGATATACCAGAAGATTTATGTCGACATTTATTTTTATCATTTATTAAAAAACCTGCATTATTAATACCAATCGATACAACATCAGCGATTGGTGCTCTACCACCTGCAACAGTAACATCACCACCAATAACAACAGCGACAATAATAACTTCTCCACCATTAACATCAAGTTTTTCATTTTTACCTGAAAAATTTTTTCGACAAAAAAAATTTACCGATGATGTTATTGCTGATTCAAAAACTCGAGCGGGTTAGTTTAAGTTATTCAAATTATCTTTTAAAATATATTGATTAATATATATGTTTATGGTATATAGGCGTATGTCCTAGTGGAAATGAAAGTCTTATACGTCGAGGTAATTCACATGATCAACATCATGATTCACCTGGAAATTCTCGACAATCATCAAGAAAATCTAATCCTTCCTTACATTCGATTCATTCATTGCATAATAATAGTAAAATGATTTTGAAGTTCAAATATTTTTATTTTCCTATTTCATTTTTTTTTCCTCATAGCTGTAACAACTATTACGAATTCAGATGATCCATGGGTATTTCGTACATCTCTATCACAATTATTAAATAAAATATCTGGTAATGAACTTATACGTGATGTTCATCATCATCATCATCACCATCATCATCATCCAACAGCACAACAAGAAATTGATATTAATACAACACGAATTTATTTAAAAGATATTATTTGTTATTTTTCATTACTTGAAGGTGGAACACCAGAACAAAAACTTGAATGTAAATTAAAACAACAACAAAATTATAAATTCATATATTTCAATGAGAATTATGTTTTTTTTTGTTTTTAGTCATGTTTATGCTTTATGATGAAGATGGAAATGGAATACTAGATAAACAAGTTTGTTTTAATAAAAAACAAAAACAAAATAAATTCATTATGTATTTAGGAAACTGATTCAATTGTTAATCAAATGATGAATGTTGCTGAATATCTTGGTTGGGATGTATCTGAATTACGACCAGTAAGAATTCTATTTAATTAATAGAAGAAAAAAAAAAAGAAGCCGAATTTAATCAATAAAATTTAGATTCTCGAAGCAATGATGAAAGAAATTGATTATGATAATGATGGTGCTGTTACTTTAGATGAATGGAAACGAGGTGGATTAACAACAGCACCACTTCTTGTTTTACTTGGACTTGATTCAGTAAACAAAAAAGAAATATATATTATTATTACTTTTTTTTTTTTTATTAAAATTATTAAATATTCATATAGAATGTTAGAGATGATGGTACTCATTCATGGCGATTAAAACATTTTAATAAACCTGCATATTGTAACCTTTGTTTGACAATGCTGGTTGGTTTGGGTAAACAAGGTTTATGTTGTACATGTAAGTTTCATTGAAAACAAAACACAAACAATAAATGAAAATAATCCTTTTTTTTTCAGTTTGTCGATATGTTGTTCATGAACGATGTGCTAATCGAGCACCACCAAATTGTATTTCAACATATGCTAAAGCACGAAAATCTGATACAATTATGTTACATCATTGGATTGAAGGCAATTGTGCTGGAAAGTAATAATAATAAATAAACAAAAAAAAAATCACAGAAGAATTTTTTGTTTTTTTTTTGTTTTAAATTCATTTGAATTTTTAGATGTGATCGATGTAAAAAATCAATTAAAGCATATAATGGTATAACTGGTCTTCATTGTCGTTGGTGTCAAGTGACATTACATAATAAATGTGCATCACAATTAAAACCTGAATGTACATTAGGTCCTAATAGAGATCACATTCTACCACCAACATCGATTTGTCCAGCTGTTTTAGTATGAATTATTTATTTATGGTGCCTTTTTTTTTCTTGACTTATTTTTTTTCTTTCTTGATGAATCTAGGAACGACAAAAAGTACCACGAAGTGGGAATGATTCTAGACGAGATGATGCATGCGTTGAAGGATCTATACAATCATTTCAAATAAATCCTTTATCAAATACACATCCATTACTTGTTTTTATTAATCCAAAATCAGGTGGCAAACAAGGAGAACGGTGATTAAATCATATGATTATTTACTAGAAAGATAATTTATAAAAAAAATAATTTTATTTAGAATAATGCGTAAATTTCAATTTTTATTAAATCCTCGTCAAGTTTTTAATCTTGTCAAGTCTGGTCCTATGCCTGGGTATATATTACTTATTTTTTGTTTTGTTTTCTTTAGTATTGAATAGATAGTAATCAATTGTAGATATTTTTATTCATGAAAATAATGAAGCTTCTTTAGAATAAATTTCTTTTTTTTTTGTTGACTAATTTTTTCGAATATATTCATCATAGGATATTTTCTAAAAAAATTTTAATAAAACATGATATTTAGTATAGATGATTTCCTTAGAGTATTATTTAAAAGAAATTTCTCTTGATAATACTTGTGCTTATGATTCGAATAAATATCAAAGCATACATTATAAGTTTAAGAAACGAAGAAAATAGTGAGTTTTTATGAGCCCTGACGTCTGTGAATTCTTTTCTTCCTATGAGAATCACTATTTCCTGTATTAGAGATATATGTACTCAGTATTATTTCATGAGAGCGGAAGATGTCATAGAATATATGACTTTTAGAAATCTATCAAGTATAGAAAACAATGTTATTCATAGATATTAAGCTGTTTCAAAGACACTTATGAAAAACAAAAAAAGAAATTTGATTTGTAATTGTCAGAGATCAGAAATTAAAAACTATATAGCATCAAACAAATAGACTTTGCTAAATATTCTAAAAAGAAAAACAACTGTTTGTATTTGTTTTAACCAGATGCGAATGAGTTTATTGTTTGGTAACGCATATTTTAATAATTGACATACAATTATTCAAAAGAAAAAGTATTCTTTCTAGTTTTTGATTCAAGAAATCGTCAAGTATTTGCTCGAAACAAACTTGCTATCAATGTACAAACGAGAAAAGTATCACGTATGGAAAATTTTAGATCAAAATTTAATGACTGACTCTTGTTAAACATATAATTAGTCAAAACTATTCTTTGATATGAAGGAATATATTTTATTTTTTGTCGAAAAATACAAAAGAAATCTCATATCGCTTTGTTTTCGACAAAATTGACATTTATTAAAAAGAAATTGTTGGTTCAGATGCGATTTACTTTTTTTTCTTTATTAATTCGATTTTATCCAAAAAACAATATTTTTTATGAGTTACAGCATGTTTTATTAAGTAATTCTAGGATTTTTTTTTTCTCTATTATTGTTAGTTTTCGATTACTGAATAATTTTGTGGTATCATCTAAAAGAAACAATCATATTCATAATTAATCGAAAGTGTAATTTCGATTAAGATCGGACATTTTTCTAAGAATTAAAAAAAAACTCAAGCAGAAGAACTACAATTAACCGATGCTTTCACAACAGTGACGAATCTAAGATTTTTATAATAGGACGCGATCATCATCATCATCGTCAAGCGTATTTTAATGCTCATTAAAAGTAGTATCAGCTGATTTGTAATAAAACATTTTTTTGAAGACAAGAATTTCTAAAATGGCGTTTCAATGTCTCTATTGATGTTCCTGTTTGAGCATTTTCACGTCTATTCAAAAAACATCGAAACCAATTACTTTCATCATAAAACATATATAAAGATGCTTTAAAATGCCATTTGTGCATCTGGAACATGTGAGAAATGTTTCTCTCAATATTTTGACGTATTTTTGAAGATAAAAATAACTTCTTCGATGTGTGGTGCATGTCAAAAATATTGTCAGAAAACGTTTTTGACACTTCCAGATGCATTTTAAGCATGTTCTATAATGAAAGTAGCTGGCTTTGGTTTTTTTTTTCTAAATGAATATGAAAACATTGAAACAGAACATCAATTAGTGTGTTTACTTGAGTTTTCAGACATCTTTATCTGCTTGCAATGTCATTGTATACTCCTAACTGTAAAATTAAGCGAAAGTAATAGAAAAAGAAATCAACTATAAGAGTCCTATATTAATATGATTTAACATAATAGATAAAAAATAACCAATAATAATAATTTTTTATTAATTTAGATTACAATTTTTCAAAGATCTTGAAGATTTTCGTGTTCTTTGCTGTGGTGGAGATGGAACAGGTATTTAAAAAAAGAAGGAATATTTTATTTCTTTCATAAATTTCTTATTTCTAGTTGGTTGGGTACTTGATGTTATGGATCGTGTTCAACTTCGTCGACGAGCTCCAGTAGCTGTTTTACCATTAGGTACAGGCAATGATTTAGCACGATGTTTAGCATGGGGTGGTGGCTATGAAAATGAAAGTTTAACTAAAATATTAAAAAAAGTATCTCAAGCTCCGGTGATTATGCTTGATCGATGGCAAATTGAATTTAGTACACGTACAGATACAGAAGAAAAAGGTGATGATATTCCATATAATATAATAAATAATTATTTTTCTATTGGTGTTGTAAGTATTTTAATATATGAATTTTTGAAAGAATAAAATGAATATATAAATTGTATTAGGATGCTTCCATTGCTCATCGATTTCATTTAATGCGTGAAAAACATCCGGAAAAATTTAGTAGCAGGTTTGTTCATACGATTATTTTTATTTTTCTATGAATTATTGTGACTTTTTTTTTCTATTTTTTTATTTTTTGGAAAATTTAGAATGAAAAATAAATTATGGTATTTAGAATTTGGTACTTCAGAAGCATTTTCATCTACATGTAAAAATTTACATGAAGATATTGACATCATGGTAATATTTTACAAGATAAAAGAATAACAAAACAAAAACAAAAAACATTATTTTTTTTTTTTTAATATTTAGTGTGATGGAGTTTCTCTTGATTTATCCAATGGACCATCTTTAGAAGGTATTGCATTATTAAATATTCCAAGTATATATGGTGGTACTTCATTATGGGGTGAAGGTGGTCGACATAAAAAAAGAAAAACACCATTAAATTTTCACCGAAAAGACTCGTATGTGATTTCAAAAAGAAAAAGTCAAAAAAAAAAAAAAAGATTCAAATCATTTTGTAGGGAGTATTCCACGAGTTCAACGTCAGATATGACATTTGTTTTACAAGGTAAATAAGATGTCAACGATTCGAAATTCGAGCAAATCATTCTTTTGTTTCTTTTTTTGAAGAAAGAGTTCATGTCACACATAATAGTCGAAGAAGAAAACAAGGGTCAAATTCCATTTACAGAGTTTTTTAGCAACAGAAAAAACGACCCTAGATAAAAATTTATATTCAACATGTCAAATATGATAGGTAGTGATATATTGATTTGCCACAATAGTCATATAATTGACATAAAAAATGTGCAGTGATTAAGTTATAACTTTGAGAGATGATAAATATGTGTAGAATAATAATACTGAATTAAGAAAACCGGTGGAATATGAAAATGAAAAATAACAAGAGCATGACAGCAAGGAAAATAAATAGAGCGGCAGTAAAAACAAAAAAGGAAAAAAAAAATGTCTGTTCTAAATGCAGAAATAAATAAGACAAATCCATTCATTGACGATTGATTATCCTTGAAAAAACAACTATATCTGTTAGAGATTTTTTCACTTGACATCTTTTGCATTAGGATAATGAGGCTAAAGTACACATATGTGTTCTATAATTTTAGCATCAAACGACGTGCCGCTAACAAGCTATTTTTGTTATTGTTAGATAGACCTTGTCGAGTTATCTCTCACAAATTTGTTTTTCATATAGTTACACGATATTTTTTTTTTTTAAGCAAAAACTTAGAATTAGGGAAAACACATGTCAAAATATTCGATAACAATGATGAGAAGATGTAACGACGAAAATTTGTTAGAAACTTATTTTATATATTAAGTATACTACTTGATGCTTTTGATTTATTTCAATTTTTAGAGACTTTTCTAATTTGCACTATAAAAATATTGTTTGAATATATGAAAAATAATATTTTGACAGATAACTGAATGATCTCTATCCAATCATGTTAAAAGAAAATTTTGCTCAAATTTCGAATAGCCACTGAATTATGTCTATTAAAATTTAAAAATAAAATTTGAACAATTCATTTAAGATGTGGGAGATAAATTAATTGAAGTTGTTGGTGTACAGTCAGCTATTCATGCTGGATCTATCTATGCTGGTGTTCGATCAAGTGCAAAACGACTTGGTCAATGTTCATCAGTTGTTATCAGGTATAAATGAATTATCTTTACAAAAGAAAAAAAAAAAAAAACTTTTATACTAATGATTTCTTCTACAGAACTCACAAAACTTTCCCGATGCAAATTGATGGTGAACCATGGTTACAACCACCATGTACTATTTCAATAACACATAAAAATCAAGTACCTATGTTAATGTCACCACGAAAAGAACGTAAAAATGGTTTATGGCGTTTATTTCGAAAATAGAAATTCAATTCGGGAGAACTGTGATAATCTGATTAGAATAATAATAAACGTAACAAATACAGTCTATCAAAATAAACGTTTCTTCCTTTTTTTTTTTCTCTATTTCTATTTTTCAACAGTGATGTTTCTAGTCTGATAGATTTTATTCTCCATCACACAAATTTGTGTGAAAATTATAGTCGCGAAAAACAATATTTTTTTTTTGTCTGCACTCGTTAGTTTTGATGTTCATGTTAATAGTGGTGGTTTATGTGCTTTCTTTAAAAAACAACAACAACACTAACATATGTCAATTTATTTCATCGCCTTAAATTGTGTGAATTCATGATTATTTGTTCGTCTATAGTTTATAGATGTGTATATTGTTTTTTTTTTTTTTTTTTTCTCAAAAATATATATACACATGAAATTAAAATGTATTTCATTGCTAATAATCAAAGTTGGAAATAGAAACAAGATCTTTACAGAGGTATACAAGGACAAGATGATCTTACTATTTAAAAGGATGTTGTACCTTGTCTAGTGATCTATTTCGACTTTACAATAAGTCAATTGTAGCAAAACAATAGTGAATAAATGAATTATTGATTAAAAATTGAAGGCTGATCTATTCATTGAAACTGAATAAGACATCTTTGACAGTCAAATGGGAATAGAAGAGAATTGAAAGATGATAATAGTAATAATATTAATAATGAGTATAAGTTTGATGTAAATAAATTGTGGTAAATCGACTAAATCCCTTGCTGTAAAAAAAACCCTCTAGTCGTCTATTATATCAAATTTATTTTCATAACTTTTGATTAAAACAATTTTTTTGGGAGAAATAAAGTTGAATTTAGTATTGTAAAACTTTCAGCTCATAGTACTGAAAATTAAGAATATCTTGATGTAAATAAACTAATTAAAGTTTTCATTTTGTTAGAAATCAATTAATTATGGAAAGCCTTTTATTACGTGTGACACATCGTTCCTCCAAGGAAATCTTTTATTGCGAGGAGGGATTTAATATTTGAGTTTAGAAGTCAACAGATACAAACTATCATTTGAGTCAACAACAAAAAAAAATGTCAGTTCTCATCTGACATAATTAGCTCGATTTATTTGATATGAATTAATTCCATAAGTTAATAGAACGCAATTCTTCGGTGTAGACCTAGTTAGATAAAAAATTTTATAGATGAAATCAAAAAGCGTAAGCACTATTCCAGATAAATCGTTGGTAGTGCAACAGAGAGTAAATTCATAGAAGTTATGATTTGCTCTAGGCTTTTTCTAATCTCAATGGTAGGTACTTTTTTTTTTTATGAGAATAATTAAAGTTTTGAGTCCAAGTTATACATGAATCATTTTGTCTTCGCGTGAAAAGAACATTGAGACTATTCAAGTGATTGAAAAGCATTCTTTGCCATACAAGCAAAACTAGTACGGTAATTTCCAGAAATCCAAACAAACCTATTTTTAGTTGATCTGACTTGTCTGCAAAATGTCTGTATACATATACTATGTAATAATATAATGATAATTGAGTGGAAGAAAAAGATTGTCTTTATAAACAAGCAAATTATGTATACCGAAATGATAGACTATATGAAGCATTTATTGATTTTATGCAGTATGTATCAATAGAAAATAGACAAAAAACAAAAGATAAAATTAGTATTTAGAAAAACAAAAATTCAATTTTCAAGTCTGAACATGTTGAATACATTTGATAAAATAATCTAATAGCATATATCAAATTCTGCCATATTCCGAACACCAATCAGAAAATAATAAGAATTAATCAATACTTCATATAAGATAATATTAATAATGAATTAAATAAGTACACATAATAACTTAACTAAATAGATAAATTATAATTCAATAAATATATTAATAATATAATCATAATCTAGTAATTAATCATGATTATGTCCAATTAAACTATTAGTAAAACAAACATTTTTTATCTTGCAGCTAGATATATACAGGATAAGACTTTTGTATCATGTACCTTGACTGAAAAAATTTTCTAACCCTTACCCCTACCTTATAGAATAGAGTAACTCTATACATCTCTACTTGCAGCAGCAAACATACTCCACTATATATTTTAATTATTATATTTTTTGCTAGAAAAAAACTCACGGACTTTGTAATGATTAAAATTCAGGTTTGTTTTAAGACCTCTGTTGTGTAATTTTATCGTTTGTTTGCCGTCAATGCTATTTTTTCAATTAATCAATTTTAATGTGAATACTATCGAATGAAAATCTCATTAATATATTTGATACATACCATAGTAAGTAACAAATATCTTTTATTCCGTTGATAAGGAAATGTACTAAATCATCGTTGGTCTTACTATAGAAAGTTGCCCTATGGTCTTTGACTTTCCTCATTTCATCTCTCGGTTGCTAGAGTCTAGGAAGGGAAGAAACCACAAAAATCTCGGTTTAAACTTACAGTCATTATTTTCTACAAAAATATATATGAGTTCCATAAACAAAAGAAAAAAACAATTATTTTATTATGTTGGACATCCACGATAAACTGGCGCTGGATCAGCAGCTGTTCTACGTAGATCAAGTAATTGATTTGTTGTTGTTGGTAATACATTTGATTGACTATTTGATTTAAATAATATTATCAAAGTTGATGGCATTGATATAAGATAAATAAAAAATAAAATTCTATCAACTAATACAGCAAGTTGTTTAACAGATGGTTTAGGATAAAATAAATTATGACGAAAATCAGTAAAATTTCCTCGTATATGTAAATCTTTTAATAATTCTCGAATATATCTCACATCATGTAACATATCATAAGCATTAATATCAATATGTTTCGGTAAACATTTTTGAATATTTCGACATTTTTTAGATAATTTTGATCGTTGTTTATTTAATTCTAATAATGATTGATGTATAGTAAATAAAAGATTTGGTTTTTTTTGTTTTAATATTTTATTTCTTGAAAAATATTGTTCTTGATAATAAATAAATATTGTTAATATATTAAATAGACAAGAAAGAAAAACAAATGAATATATTATATTTGAATATAATGTTAATGTACAAAGACCACGTTCATTTTTTGGTACATAATTTGATATAAGTTGTAAATAAATAGTTAATGAAAGTAAAACACTAACTGTAAGTGTGATTTTTTCACCACTATCTGTTGGTAAACAAAATGAAAATAATCCAAGTGATGATATTATAGAAAAAGGTAAAATTATTTTAACAACATAAAAACGTGAAAGACGTACAAGTTCAATATTTATTTTAATTGTACTAAAATAACGTGCATAATGTGGATTATATAAATCAATTTCTTCGATTGTAACATGTGCAATTTTCCATTCTGTATTTATAAAATTATATAATTGTACTACTTTATATAAACTACGTAATTTAAATTCATTTGAATCATATATAGTTGATTGAAGAAGAATTGAACAACGTTGTTTATCAAATGGAAAATTTTGAACATGAAGTTCACAATATGAAACAAGTTTATCTTGATATGACCATCGAACAATACCTGTACAAATAGCTAAAATAGGATATTGATATTTAACTTCTTTTTCGGCTTTTCCTGGTCCATTTATTGCAACAATATCAGGTACCCATATTTCATTTGCAGTAAAAAATATTGCCGAACGATTTCGTTTACTTAAACATACTTGTTGACTTGTATTCCAACGTAAACGATCATCACACCATTTTAATTCAAAATTAACATTAAGTGTAATAACCTGTAAAAAATAAATTTCAAAATAAAAACAAAAAAAAAAATTTTTGAGAAAATAAACAAAACTCTAATTATATAATCTATGAGATAAAAAACTAAATGATTACATTTCGAAGTATCATCAATAATTCGAACTAGATATATGATAATAATATTGTTAGTAGAATTTTTACGAAATTAAAATGTAAAATAGGATAGAGTTACTGATGTTGTAAAAGAGAGGATTAAATCAATATACAGGTTGACCCAAAAGTCACGCACCCGACAAAAAATTGAATATCTCCATTAGGACTTGAGTAAACGGGGTGATTTTTTTACCAGTGATAGAGGCATATACAAACTTTATATCCATACAGACATGTCTAGGAAGACCCTTTGTTAAGTATCACTATTGACCAAACCAAGAAAAATTTTACTTTTTCACATATAGAAGAAAAAACAATAGACTTAACAGAGGGTTTCTCTAGGTTTGTCTTTATGGATATGCAGCTTGAACGTGGTTCTATTATTATTAAAAAAATCAGCTCGTTTGCTCTAGCCGTAATGGAGATATTCAATTTTTATTTTGGCAAACTGACTTTTAGGCTACTATGCATATGACCTAAAAGTCACGATACCAAGAAAAAATTAAATATCTCCGCTACGGATCAAGCAAACGGCTTGATATTTTTACCAATAATAGAGATATGTTCACACTTTAAATCTATACGAACAAGCTTAAATAGAGCCTTTATAAAATACCACTAATGATCTCAACAAAATAATTTTACTTTTTCACGGATAGGATAGAAAACAATATATTTAACAAAGGATCTTTCTAAGGATGTCCTTATGAATATAATGCTTGAACATGCCTCTATCATTGATAAAAGAATCAGCTCTTTAGCTTGAATCATAGTGGAGATATTCAATTTTTTTTGGCAAAGTGACTTTTTTTTCTAACTATGCAAAAGTAAAATTTTTCTTCTTGAGGTCAGTAGTGATACTTAACAAAGGGTCTTCCTAGACATGTCTTTATGGATTTAAAGCTTGTACATATCTCTATTACTACTAAAACAATCACCCCGTTTGGTCAA